ATACTTTTATTTAAGAGCTAACATCCATAAATGAAGCAAGAAATGTTGATGTTTGATTGAAACAAAAAATCTGAGCAGTTTTGCAAACAAAAACAATTTTAAAAAGCTGACTGTAACTTAGATGTTGCTAACTAACGTCCCAATCCTGCAAGATCATTGTGCTGTTTGCAGGACTAAGGCTTATGATTTCTGTACTTCATAAGTCCTATAGAGTCCTGATTTGGATAACTTGTTAAAATGTAAAGACATTAGTGCTTAAAATTGTCAGGATCCTACATGAAGGAAAGTGGGACTAATGGCAAGAGTTTAGGATCTCAGAACTGAATCTAGGGTTCAGAGACTGTCTGAGGGTCGATGGTCAAGAGTCAAGCCTCTCATCAGAACCAGAGACAGCTTAGTTACAGATATTGGGAAGTGTTTTGGGGCTCCAGGAGTTGATCAGGAGTCAGAATACAAATCAGAGCCAAGGTCAGTCCTAGGAATACAGGTAGGGTTGCCAGGTGTCCAGCTTTCACCCAGACAGTCTGGTATTTGCAGACTCCGCCCAGTAAAAAAACCAAGAAATACCAAACACGTGCAATGTCCAGTATTTCCCGTTCCCCTGGGATGGAAGCCCGGCGGGGACAATTTCCCCCTGCCACGTCTGGCGGGGGCGGGGGAGTGAGGAGTGCGGCAGAGTCTAGCAAAGGGAGGCAGGAAGGGGGCAGTTGCTGGGCGCCATGCTAGGAGGGTGCCGGGCTGGGGTAGGAGTGGCACGCACGTTGCTCTGGCCCACGTGACCAGCAGAGTCCAGGAGCTGGCCACATGAGGTCTCCCTCTCTCTACAATGTGAGCCAAGGAGGCCAGATTTGGTGGCAGGAGCAGCCACTTTAAAAGTCAGATTGTTCCTCCATGACTGGCTCTGCAGGGGGAGAGGGGAGATTTGATTGGAGCTGGGGCTCCCAACGCTGAGGATGCCTGCCTCAGGAAGAGGGGTGAGTGCACTGGGATGGAGGGGTGCTGGGGGGGGGCCTGGCTCTGAGGCAAGGGGGGAGTGCTTTGAGATGGGGGGGCACTAAGGGGGCCTGGTTCTGAGGCAGGAGTGGGGGCACTGGGATGGGGCGG